AAGAGTAGGAAAAAACGGGGATTTTAAACATCCCTGTTATTACCGGATCCCTGTTATTACCGGGCCTGTTATATATGGTTTCAACTGTATCTTTGTTTGCTTTTCTGTTTGTTTGCTTGTTTGTTTGTTTTGTTTATTTGAAAGAAATGACCTCGTTCTGTCACCAAAATTTAACCCTCTCTGAGCCACAATGTACCAACATTTGGTTCTACTGAGAGAAGAGAGGTCGAAATATAATATTATTTATGCATGAAACAGAAATAGATACATGCAGCCCCGTTTTTGGAAAAAATGAGACTTTTGAAGGGCTCCAGGTTCAAGCCCTCATTGGAGAACAGACAGACAGGTTATAAAACCAAATTATGCTTAAAACAAATTTGGAATAGCATTTAAAACTTTAATAATGGTAATTGCAAACATGATGATGGTGATGATGATAATGAGGATTTTTTGTTTGTTTCCTCAATGGGCCTGGCGGACACCACGAAGAAATCTGCGAGCGAGATCCATTGTCAATGTGCTTAGAGGCACCTGCACTCGTCCAAATAACCCCATTCGAATTGTCATTGTTCCAGGACATTCAAACATATTAAATTATGTTTGGCATCCTACTTTTCGTGGCCGCATCTTCGGCAACGTGGGATGAGCTCTTCATTTACAAAGTTCTTATACCATCTCAAACTCCAATGATGGTCCGACCGCAGTCTCGCTAGCTCAGTCTGATGATGAAGATGATGATGATGTACAGACAGCATCTCTTGTTTTATTATATGTGAGGCAGCGTGGTGGAATCAGGCTCTCGTCAATTTTTGGGCATGTAGAGTTATTGGTACCATCTTAAAGCTTGTTCGCTAGTCTTTATTTGGATGGAACAAATATCCATTTATCTTGGATACAAGTCGAGATATTTACGAATGAAGGAGGTGGGGGGTCACCTGTTTTCAGTGATAAAATTATGAGAAAATGGCAGCCAAAGACGAGTTATTTTTTTGGCTTAAGAGTCTGAAAAATTTACTTTTTTTGTGCCTTTAATCAACGTTTTTCAGAAAAATCCACACAGAAATGAGTTCTTTGAGGGGAATGAAAGGTGTTGAGCCAAAAAACAAACATTTTATAAAAATTCACAAACCTATGGAAAAATGCAGGTCTCTTCACTTTGATTATTTTGACCAGAGCCTGATTCCACCACGCTGTCTCACATATATCATTGTTCTCGTCTCGCCTGTGCATTGAGATAAATTATTATCTTCAACTGCGCCAAGATAGTTTGTGAAATGCACAAAATGCCATTGTATTCGTAAATCATTGCATTTTAAAAAGATTTCTTTAGTTACTTACAGACAGTATAATTCCACCTTTTTTTACTCCCCTGTAAGACTTTCGTTTCAGTGAAAGAGTTTTCTCTACACCGGAAGCTTTCTAATTTTGAACACTTGGGAAAACTTCCGGCAGATTTCAGTGTGTTATTTCCATTTTATAGTCATTATATCTTGTGAGAAATGCATGCGTACACCAGATTTCTCTAAATAGAAAACCTTCAATGATAGGCAGATCCTGAATAAAAATTTCCTTCAAAGAAAAAGCAATGGTCATGAAGAAACTGAAATAGACAAAGCTTTACGGTAACAACATCAAAGACTAAATGAGCGCTTTGCCAGAAGTACAAATTGTAAATTTATAACAAGGTAAGAAACTTATCACACTTGTGGTGTGGACAATCAATATTTGTAGGGTGATAAGACCTAAGACTTAAAGGAAACTGAAATAAAGAGCAAAAGGAAATAATGAAGAAATACCCCATTTAATCATAGAAACATGTTTTTCCACAAACTTTGAATTACTAGAATGGCAGCTGAGACCAAAACACAAAGCAGATATCAATTCAGTCTCAGCGGAAGGCACCAGTTGTGTGTCTACGGCTTTACTCTCTCTGTCTCTCTCTCTGTCTCTGTCTCTCTCGCTCTCTCTCTCGCTCTCTCTCTCTCTCTCGCTCTCTCTCTCTCTATCTATCCATCTATCTATCTATCTAACTCTCTATCTATCTATCCATCCAT